ACAAACAAGAGATAACATCCACAAAAAGAGAGAAATTTGACAAGTCATTAGCTAATTTTGTCATTTGACACAAATATTTAGGTGATTAGATAAATCTTGAAGTATTTTTTAGCAAAAAATATTCAAACTCAAATTAAAAATCTTTGGCAACTACGATTTTATCAAACTTATAGTTATACTGGCCAGCTTGACGAGACCAACCGAATGACACCAAAATTGGTCTGATTCAAGTCAAATCAAGCCATTAAACCATTTTTGAAAACTTTGGGTGTTTAATTGGAAGATCAAATGGATTCTAATTCTAACGAGCTTATAATCAAATCGAGTGTGTTGATGAGACGAATTTAACGAGCCCCAAAAATTACTCCTAATTGCAACCGCTTCATATTATTATACATTGGGTCCTTTAGCATATAAATATTATACTTTGAGGAACTGTGTAACTATTTCTCGTGTGTAGTTGAAGAGCATGTACGTGTATTCACCAACTTACAGTGAATCATTCTGACTAGGCTAAACTCCATGATTTTTTCCTTTTTTTTGTATTTTCCACAGAAATATCTGGCGTCCATATGCCACCTCTATTACTTGCGTGTCTTCTACACTTTCATACAACATTAAAATGCTAAATAATTACTGCACTCTTGGAAATGAATCTTCTGACACGCAACAAACCTTGCATGAAAACAGACATTTCACTTCAAAACATAAGTAGTAGTGCAACACTTTTGACGCGATATTAAAGACTTAGTGCAATATATGAATGTCAATTTGGAAGTTCAGGTGCTGCATTTGTGAAAATATAAGAATTGTGTGGTATTTATGCAAATGTCCATCTTGCGGCAGCAAGCGGCGCTGCTGAGCTGCATTTCATTTACCAATTAATTTGACAATCTGTTCTTATAATAATATGCCTAAAATCATGTTTTATGTATAGTTATTTTGTAATTTTCATTTGTAATATATATTCATGTTGATTGGATTGATATCACATTTATATTTTTCTTAAAAATTGGAGTGTGATTGAGCCAGGTTAGCTCGAGCTCAGCTCGTAAAGTGGCCTGTGAGCTGCATTCAATAGGCCAGGCTCAGGCTAAACCTGACTCGAGATGTTCAATTTAAATAATATTAATATAAAATACAATCAAAATTTATTTAAATCCAAATTTTTATCTATAAATTATTTAAATTTTTTAAAAAAATTTATTTCATTTTTTATTGTGTGGCTTCTAATTATTTTTCTTCTAATTACTTATTTTAATTATTATTTTGCTCTAATACTAATTTTTAATATTAATATCTCTTTTCGTAATAAGCGGCCCGTGAGCCAACCAAACTCATACTCAATTAGTTAATCAAGCTCAAACTCAAATTGAGATTGGCTTAGTGGTTGACTCGACTCATTTACGTTACACCTTTATTAAAATATTAAATAAATTATCAAATTACAGTTTTGTTTAGGTAGAAATTAATTGTCATGCTTGTTTAAGTGGAAATTAAGAGTAAAAGAAAGCATTAATTTTGAATGATCATGATTATTATTATTATTATTATTATTATTTAAGAATTGATGAAAAAATAACTTTTATTTATCATAATTAATAGATTATTAGCTTATTTCAGCGCATGCCGACTAGAGCTGTCAAAAAAGTTCGTTGTTCACGAACAATTCGTGTTTTGTTCGTCAATGAGTTCGTGTTCGATTCGTTTGATAATTAAACGAGACGAACGCGAACAAACTTTTTTGTTTGGTTAGTAAAACGAATCAAACACGAACAGTGATGCGTTTGTTCGTGTTTGAAACGTTATTGTTCAAAATATAAAATAATTTAAAATAATTATATATAAAAAATTTATGACATTTTAAAAAATTAAAATTTATAAATTATAATATATAATAAAATAATAATAATAATATATTAATATACTGTATTAGTAATATACTAATAAAGATATTATATATTTATATAATATAAGTTATATAATTAATATAATATATTATTTATATGTACT